GCCCTTAACTTAAGTGGAACGAACTAACGAACTCCACTTCTATATTACATGCTATGATTAAAGGTTGGGACATATACAATTTTGTAAATTCCTTTCTCTCCCTTTTTATTGTTTTGTATGCTACTCATCCGTGTTTAAATAAATAAAACAGGACTTTTACGGAATTTTTGAAAAGTTAGTTGAATTTATTTTATAATAGGATAGTGAGGTATAAGTCTGAGGAGAGAGAGAAGACAATAAGGGATTTTGTGAGGACCATAAGTTAGTAAAAATTAGAGAAAATAATATTAAAAAATAGAGAGAATTTATAAAAAAGAAAATGTTTCATTTATTTAAACACTCTCACAAAAATGAGGGGGCTGTGAGGAATCGAAACCCCATCACCTAGGGGAAACCATCCCTACATCTCCTCATTCCTCTTTTAAGGCCAACTTATGGCACGTTAGTTTTTGGGTAATATAAATTTGTAATAAATTATTACTCATTCAAGCTAAGCTCATCAACACACTCTGTTTTTTCATCTATTATATTAATTTAAGATTGTTTAGTCATTTTATTATTTTATTTTATCTGTAACAATAATATTATTTTCACTCACAAATGAAGGCTTCACTTGAATCTTAATTTTCCAATACTTTATTTAAGACTACCAAGACATGTTTACTTCAAGGTTACGAAATTCTTTTGTTAGTTCTTTAAACTTGGTATGACATATGCCATGCCAGGCCATGATATGTCAGCAAAAACAAAGTAGGACTTAGTGCTAGTCTTGTTCTAAGAGTTTAGCCAGCTAAGTTTAGTTAGCATAAAACGATTAATAATCCTTGATATCTAAGGTGGTGATAGCTAGTGTTTGGTTAAACTAAATATTACCCACGTTTTTTTTAGTAGACACATTTCTTTTATCGTGTTTGCCAATGCACTATTTAACGATTAATATATCTAATTTTTGACATTATAAAATTGTAAAAAGTGAATTTTATTAATAAATATACATTGAGACGATTCAAATAAGATCTCACCTGATTTTGAAAGGAATGGTGTCCTTCCAACAAGTGTATTCTTCCGATAGAGGGTTCAGAATTATTATAGAACTAATTCTTCAGTAAGGTCAAGTGATCGGAATGCCTAGGTGGAGGCCGCTTCCGATCAGTAATATCGAGGTACAATTGATATTACAGCTTAATCTTAACTGAACCCTTCGGGTCGAACCCAATCGAATCACCGATCTGAGACGACGAATTAATCCGATAGGATTTAATGAGTTGACAGAGTTTTACGAATACAGACGTCGAACATCGAGCCTAGGGCGTCGAGACCGAGCGTCGCAAAATCACAATTGATAAGTATGAGCGTAGCCATAGCTAGGCTAGGCTAGCTCATCATAGGCACTAGGCGCGCCATAGCAGCCCTAGCATCATGCCTAGGCGCTATCGCAGCCTTAGCGTGATGGCTAGGCACCATGGCTGGCTATCGCTAGCACCAGGAGCGCCAACACAACCCTGGCATCATGCCTAGGCGCTATCGCAGCCCTAGCATGATACTGGGCGCCATCGCAGTCCATCGCAAGCCAGCAGCATCACTAGGCGCACCATGCGTGCCCTAGGATGGCTGGGCACCATCGCAGCCCAGGCAGCATCACTAGGCGCACCATGCGTTCCCTAGGATGGCCTGATGCCGTAGCAGCCCTAGCATAATGTTGGGCGCATGGCAGGACCACACGCACTAAGCACAGCTAGTGCTAGGTATTGGCGCATGCGTGGTGCGTGGTGCTTGGGCGAGGCATGTACGTGCATGGTGCACGGTGCATGGCCGAGGCTGATGCGTGTGGCTATGCGAGTGTGTGCGAGGGGCTAGCAAGCTAGCAACTTCAAGCCAAGCATGCGTGGCTTGCTAGCAGCACGCATGCTAGGCATTGCGTGCGAGAGAGGCTGATGCGTGACGCGCATGATGTGTGAGTGTGGTGCGAAGCGAGAGGCCAGCATGCGTGGCTCGCTAGCAGCACGCATGCTGGGCCATGCGAGCATATGGTGCAGCGATGATGCGTGGGATGCTAGCACCAGCGCCAGCACGCACCAGCCAGCACCAGCGCCAGCACGCACCAGCCAGCACCAGCGCCAGCACGCACCAGCCAGCACCAGCGCCAGCACGCACCAGCCAGCACCAGCGCCAGCACGCACCAGCGCTGCTGCTGGGCTTGTGCTAGCATGCTGGGCTAGCTGGCACATCTAGCTGGCCAGCAGCCTTGGTTGAGGCAGTTTGTGAGGAGAGTGGGGACCAAGGCTTTGTGAAAGCCTTGGGGAGCAAGGCATTGGTCCCCCTCCACCTCTCCACGGTCCTCACCTAATACTCTCTCTCCTTTGACACTTGTCGAATTGTGATTGCATTTATTTATTGATTTATTTTAGAAATAAATTAATTAGCAAATAAAACATTCTCCCACATTGGTTAGGGAATGAAATGCAAGGGTTCATTTCCCTAAAAATACCAAGCTTGGGTATTGGGAAATGAACAACCTTGAGTGGAATTAAAAAGGCAACTCTAAGAAAAGAGTAAACCTTTGATTCGTAAAACTCATAGTTATTTTGTCCGGGTCTTGACTAACCTTCAAGACTTAGGACGCTCGAGTCGGGTCGAGGGTACGATCCGTCGGAGATCTCGTCTTTTCGGGATTTTGAAGTAAGAGCTCTTTGGGAGTGAAGCACGCGTTAAAGGTATAATTCTTGTCCTTAATCTTGTTTGATTAAGTTTATTACGCTTGTTTAATTGCTTTAATTAAGGGGCGGGTCTTGGTGGGTTTCCTTCCGCGTAGTGTCGGGTCACTACGAAACCCAACAGTTTTATTGTAGCTATAAATCTCAAAAGTTAGTCAAAATGTAGTTTATGAATAGTGTAAAAGTCAAATGGTGTCAACTAAAAAAATGGAAGAAGTATGATTTATAACCAAGTAATTGGCACATTGATAATTATAATATGATATTGAATCACACTTACTAAATCAATGGAATTACATCAAACCACACCCATACAAACATACTAAGATAAGCTTGGTTTAGTGGGAAACCTTGAGGTTGGTGTTTGAATTGTCACTAGAGAAACTTTGAGTGTGGGGATCCTTTACCCTTCCCCCTTACATTCAAAGTGTATGATTCACAAATACTAGTCCCAAAAAAACCGTAAGAGTTGAGGTTTGATCAAATTCCTTCACCAAAAAAAAACATGTATTTAAAGGCACTGATATATAAATACAGATTGAAAATGGTACAAAAAAGGAAGGGTAAACATCGTATTTTAAAGTAACAGTGAAAGTGCAGAAAATACAAGTTTATCTTGGTGATGAACAAAATTTGTTTATCACATGCTATTTTTATAAGTAAACTAGTTTTGTGCCCCGTGCGATGTCCGGGTTAATTATTAAATTTTAAGATTTTTTTGTTTTTTTTAATTTATATGTCAAATTTTAAAACATATTATTGATACAAACAGTGTTATGTAAGAGGCATATATCTCTTTTGATTTACGATATTATAAAATAACTTTTCTTCCTAAAAAAGCTATCTGTATTTTGCTTACTTGACACCATACGTGTCATATTAATGTATAATTATCGACGATATTAGTTAGATGGTATTTATATTATTTCAATGTACTACGCATGAATTAATGATCACTTAATAATAATATTTGTACCATAAAGATATATATAACCATTATTGGTTTTAGTATCTACAAACAACAATATATAATATAATATAACAATGATATTCGATTGTGAGGTTTTATTTTTAATTGATTTAAATATGTCATTAATTGGTCATGTTTTGAACTACTTTTTAAAACGAACTTTATGATGTAAATATAACAGATTATAACATATTATTTTTTAAAAGTTGTAGCTATTTTATACAGATGAAATATTTTCGCTGATATATGGTATCATGTGTGTAAAACTAATTCTTATTTGTTGTCTACGTGACGTGACACTTGGCAAAAAACCGAAATGCCAAGTTTCAATGTCTCATTTTAGTTGATTAAACAATGTAATAAATGAATCCGGTTTTGTACAGATTTTTAAAATGAATCTTATGATATAAAAATAACATATTTATAAGACATTTTTTTTTTGAAAGTTTCAATCTTTTTTATTCATATAAAAAATTAGAAGTCCTATCGGAAACAAAACTCTAAATAACTATTTTATCCTAAAAACTCTATCTTAAATTCAACTTTTTTATTCTAAAAAGTCTATCTTAAATTTTCTTATCTAGTGTCAGAGGTGTCATATTAAAACTTATATGTCGCCTACGTGTAGGACACTTAGTGAAAGTTAAAACGCTAAGTGTCGTTGTCTCGTCGTCTAGCTAAAAGTTTACCTTTATATATTAGTTACTAGGTTTGTGCCTGGGCGATGTCAGATGGTTGATAAGATAAACCTTTTGGATTAAATGTTAAATATAGTCATATAATCCCTTTTGATAATGCATGATATTTAAACATACTAAACTGAAAATATATTTTATTGAACTGAAATTATTTTTACTAAACTGAAAGTATTTTACCAACACTAAAATTATTTTTCCTGATTAAAATTTATTTTTACTGATTATCTATTATTTTTGTAAATAAATTAAATATATTATAAATGGATCTTATTTTTATAAATTTTTTACAAACAAATTTTATGATGGACATAGAACTGAATTATAGGATATTTATTAAAAGTTATGATTAATTTCGTATATATGAAATATTAAAAGTATACTGATAATAAAACTTTATAAAACATTTTTATCTTAAAAAATCTATCCAAAATTCGCTTACTTAACATCATATGTGTCACAATAATACTTATTTGTCACTACGTGGCATGACACTTGGCGAAAAACTGGAATGCATGTGTCGCTGTCTCGTGGCCTGGCTGCGAGACCAGCTTTATTTATTAGTGATATAATAAATAAGTGTTTCGCCAAAAGTGGGCTCCACAGTTGATGGTAATTGAATAAAGTTGTTGATTTATTTACGAAAATGTCATACAATAAACATTTTTGTTTATCTTCTAGATAAATTGTGGCTAGCTCGAGAAAGTATGAGAAAATAATACGTGCACATGTATGTTATACTAGCAATCGAAAGAACGATGGGAGTTCCAGCGAAATCCTTCCCTTGGATAAGGAAGAAGAGGAGCAGGTTGAGCTAAACAAGTTGGATACTTTTGTCCTGGCATTACTACCGAGTAATTTGCTGCGTATGTTGGCATCACCTGTTATCATTACAAATCATATACTTTTCTCATTAGTTTTGACTTCGCTTGTTTACAAGTCAGGTTTATAATGGAGTAAGTGTTCTTCTCCTGAAAAGGTTGAACTAATGCTACCAAAAGAAATTTTATTAGGAATTGATAAAGAGTAGTGTGCTAATAGAGTGATAGATGAGTTTTGATGTCATAGAGCGATTTTTCGAGATTGTTGAGTTTGGTGCATATTTGTGTTTTTCGTGTGTCTATACATCATTCTCAACAAGTAAACATAAATTACTTTTCAAAAAAAGGAAAAAAAAAAGTTAGCATAAATTAGTAAAAATAGTTAATAATTCGCATCATATAAGCAAAAGACTAGAATGAAGCAAGCCTATGCAAAAGGAGATGCGTTGTCCCCACTAATAAAGATTGGACAAAATCTGTTAGTTGTTATTTGGTATTGTTTCAGATAAAACTTTCATATTACGCAGTTAAATTTAATGGAAGAAAAACTCCTTAAATTGATTTTACAAATAATTGTCTAATATGAAGTATGTACTACTTGGTAGGGAGTCCTTATTATGTGGACTCAATTAAGTATAATACTTAGTCTAGTGAAAAAGTTTTATCTCAAAACAATTTTGGGATAGGGAGTGTTTTATACTTTACCGATACTTTAAAAGAGCTTAGTTTGCTAACCTAGGCAAATTTAACTTATAAGAGAGTTAGAGCCGATAATGCCCTTCTCCTTACCTACCAAAAACAATATGTAATGTGAACCCTAGTCATAAGAAATATATATAAGGACTATGAGAGGTATTCTTCTTAAATACATGGTATATTCACTAATGAAAATAGATGGTTAAGATCAAGGGGATCTCAGAGGACGAGGGGAGTACCAAAGATGACTTGATGGAATGAGTGGACTGTGGACATGAAGTGGTTTGGTTTACATGAGCATATAATTACATGGATAAAAGGGACGAAAGATCATGGTAGTGAGTAAAGGTGATAAAATATGTATAGGTTCATGACTTCATGTTGCCGTTTATATATTTGCGCGCAATAGATGAGTAGTGTTAACCAAATTATGACAATTTTTTATGATGAATACACTCAAATATGATTCTTTAAATACAGTATGTATAATGAGTTATTTTCTCATTCATCCCACCAAATGCTCTTATTATTGATTTGAATCATACTCTTCCATTATTTATTTTCCTTTCATTTCTCTTATGATACTAAAGAAACTAAAAATTAAAATAAAAACAATGAGCATACCACATTGTGATGGTTTCTTGGTTTAGCCGAAGATCCAGACTCAATGCTGCTCCCATCCTGAGAAGACGATGATGAAGTAGAGGAGAGGGAAGGATCATTAGTTGGCCTATATAGGCGCTGAAGAATAGCCATTACTAGGAACATAGATATGAGTATAGCAGTTGCTACAAACCCAAATGAAATGGCATAAAACGATGTCGTTCCCCATATATTTTTCCTCGGTCCTTCTTGTTTGTAATTATAACTCTGTGTTATTTGAGGAGGGTTTGCTATATCTGTTGGAATATCTGAACTACTTGTGTAGTAGTTCCATGCCCTTCCTCTTCTTCCACCATCAAACTCGTTCATTTTATATGTATAACTATCTTTGTACAAAATTATTTTAATTAATAAAAATAATTATGATGAAATAAAATACAATCCTAGCCTATAATCTTATATTATCATGCAAAAATTTGCTGAAAGAAGTGATTGATTTTAGTTATGTTTTAAATTAGGAAGGACTAAATTAAATAACAAATTTATTAAGGTGTGGATTGGAACAAAGAGAAGAAGAAGAAAGCAAAATGTTGTGAAAAATAAAGTTGAAGTAAAATGCAAAAATTGTTTGATTAAGGAAGCATTTGAGTGTATTTAGCTAGCTAGATATCTTATCTGAGGTTTTTAAAGTATCCGAAATGCCATATTAAAAATGTAAAGCTAAAGTTGTTTAATACTTCTAATATAAGATTTGATGATTTAAATTAAAAACGGATGTTGTTACTTTATATGGTCAGTATCACATTGTCATATGCTTAGCTTAATCAACAATGTATCTTTTGTTCCAAATAACAACAAAAGCTGGAGAAGTTAGGGGAAAGAGAAATAAAATTATTTACAGAATACAAAACTAAGTTAGGGAAAAGTGAAATAAACAGAATACAAAACTTAAAGAAACTACTTTGCCTTCGGGAGTAAATGCTATGTGAGTCCGGGTACATGGTGAGACATATTTACCTAATTAGGTTAGGTCCCGTAATTTTCAATAACTACTCTATAATTATTAACACTATATTTAATTATAAAAAAAATCAATTTAAGTTACTACTTTGTAAAATGAATTAATTATGAAAGAGTATATTATTAGCAAAATAGATAATTTAAACGGAAATTTCACCATATACCACTGAGTTTAAGCTTAATTCACCGTATACCACCAAAAACTTTCTAATACACCATATAACCTTCAGTTTTATGGAAATGTCACAACATGCCATTAATGACCAACGGAGGTTAACACCGTTAGTCATTAAGGTTAATAATGCCACGTGGCAGCTTGTGATTTGTTCCCTTCTAAATAATTTAATTTAAAAATAATTATTAGATTAATTATTGAAAAAATTAAAAAAAAAAGAAAAAAAATCAACCACCACCAACGTTCCCCCAACCATCCACCACCAACGACACCCCCTGCCAGCCACCGCCAACGAACTCCCTCGCCGGTGCGGAATCCGACCAGGACCTCCGCCGACGCTCCTCCCCTTCCCCCGAACTATCGTGCCTCCCTCGAAAACCCCATTGAATCACCTCAAAAACCCCCCTACCTCCCTCGAAAAACCGTCCCCTAAACGCCGGCCGACGTCGAAACCCCCCTCCCTCGCGTCGGCAAACGAATTCGCAAAAAGGCCCGATTAACCCCTCTAACCTCCATCCAAGCCCCGATTAACCCCTCTAACCTTCGCAAAAAGGCCGAAAACCTCCATCCCTTCCCCAATTAACCCCTCTAACCTTCACCACGAAACTTGCCGAAAACCACCACCATGAAACCCCAAAACACCAAAATCGAAACCCTAGATTTTGGTTTTAGGGTTTCGGCATACGTGGTGGTTCAATGGGGTGGAGATTTCATCGGGACAGGGCGAATTCGTTTGCCGACGCGAGGGAGGGGGGTTTCGACGTCGGCCGGCGTTTAGGGGACGGTTTTTCGAGGGAGGTAGGGGGTTTTTGTGGTGATTCAATGGGGTTTTCGAGGGAGGCACGATAGTTCAGGGGAAGGGGAGGAGCGCCGGCGGAGGTCCTGGTCGGATTCCGCACCGGCGAGGGAGTTCGTTGGCGGTGGCTGGCAGGGGGTGTCGTTGGTGGTGGATGGCTGGGGAACGTTGGTGGTGGTTGATTTTTTTCTTTTTTTTTTTAATTTTTTCAATAATTAATCTAATAATTATTTTAAAATTAAATTATTTAGAAGGGAACAAATCACAAGCTGCCACGTGGCATTATTAACCTTAATGACTACGGTGTTAACCTCCGTTAGTCATTAATGGCATGTTGTGACATTTCCATAAAACTGAAGGTTATATGGTGTGTTAGAAAGTTTTTGGTGGTATACGGTGAATTAAGCTTAAACTCAATGGTATATGGTGAAATTTCCGTAATTTAAAATACACATATATGTATATTTATATATATTTCACTAAACCATTTCTTCTTTTAACCAAATGAATATCTTAAAACTATGTATCTAATTCGTAAATAGATTTACTTTTTACACACTATTAATCCATTCCCTCTAACGCGGTACTTATTTTTCTTCTCAATAATCAACTGGCTTAGAAAAAAATTCATATCTTTCCTAGCAAGCTTTTCAAACATAATTAAATACACAAATATTTTAGAAAAAATTAATCCTTGTTGTAAAAATGGTAAGAGTAGTATATAGCACTATGTATGTCACATATTATGTTAAGAATTTGATTTTCATTTTTTTAACTTTAGCTTGTGGTATCAATATATATAGTGCAAGGATACATTAAATCTTTTTAATCTTCTATTTATATATAATATTTGTTTCCTAAATAGTGTTTTTTTTTTGACACACCAGAAAATGACATGTATCATTGCTGGTGTGTCTTTTAGTATATAGTTATTGATTAGATGTTTTACACAATTTTTGGAACATTTCGACATTTGAATTTAGATATTGGATTTTTTGACTTATAACACCACAAAAAAGTTGGAAAATAGATTATGATACCAAAAAATAAAAAAGAAAATTATTACAACATCACAAAAAAACCAAAATAATGGATTTCACCAATACTTAACGGATATCATTCAAATATTCCTTTGTTGCACATAATAAGAAAATGAGGTAGTACAGATCGGAGTTTATGATTTTTGTTATTGTTTGATAAAGTGTGAAATTAATTGTGAGGTGCCTCAATTAATTAGAGTTTCTCAAATGTCTTTGGAAAAAAAAAAAGCTTTGTAAAAATATTTCAGAAATTGTTGGCACAAAAAAACGGGAGAACACATTTTTGAAGAGATGTATAGGTTTGGAACATGAACATACAATCATATGGACAAATAGGATTTGATTTTGGAAAAAGGGTGTGTGTTTCGGGAGTTTTTGAAATCCCTCGGGATACAAGTTGTGAATATGTCTAGACGGCCAGAGACAACTGCAAAACAACGAATATTCTGGTTGACGGAATATTTGCCTCCGATGGTCAAGTTAGTAACCGGAAAACGAAGATATTTAGATAGAGAAAGTAGAGAGAAGTTAGAGCACTTTGTATGCCTTTTTATGATATGTTTCAATCCACCCCTCCCATCATTAATAATTGGGGTATTTATAGGGGTGGGGATGTGTGCATTCTAGGGTTGGTACCCTAAAAAGGAGTGCACTAATTGGCGGTGCAATCAAATGAAGACACATTTCCTTTGGGGGCGCTGTTTCGATGCTTCTCTCGAGAATTGGGCCTCCTGATGTAATGGAGGCCTTTTCCCATTCAGGTGTTCTCATGTTTGCCACATGTCATCTTCTTATTAGGAAACATGTTGCCTTCTCATTGGGCCATGTGTCACTATAGGATTGGACCACGTGCAGGGATATTTTTATCCAAAACATTTGCCCCTCAGAGGGGGTGACTTGAACCACTTGGGCCACCTCTTCTAAAGTTTTGTTCGTACACCAATGTTTGAGTGCTCGAATGCTTTTGACTATCAGCTGGAAGGGGCGGACTTTAACGTCCATTTGAAATCAGGAAGCGCTCTTTTGGGCCAATCGCCTTTGGCTGTTCGACTGATCTCCACTTGAGCTCAAGCTTTGGAATCAGCTGGACAGGTTGTGCCGTCTAAGATAAGGTAAGACACCCGTCTTCCTTATTTTTCGGACCAACGATTTGAATCTGCTGACCTAGCCGTTTCTTTTGACTGACCGTTATATTAACCGTACACCTTCACCATCTTTATTGATGGAACAATTTAATAACCATTTGGGCTTCTTAGGTTAACTTTTTGAAAAAGAGACGTTTGGTCTCTTGGGCAAGAAAGGTGACTTTACCATTTTTCTCCCATAAATTTACCTATATATAGGACTTGTTTGACTTCACAAAAATACTTTGGATTTTGTGTTTTCTAGAGAGAAGTCAGAGCTTTTAGAGAGAGAAAGTGATTTTCTTCCCTAATCTTCAAGAGCACCACAGTGTATTGAGTTTTCCGGTCAATTTCTTGGTGTCGTGACTTAACCAAGACCTTTAAACTTCAAACTTTCCAAGTTTTCTACTCGTACAAAGGTAACCGTCTGTTTCTTCTTTGACTTTTTCTTTTCATATACTTATTTTATTTTTTTGAAACACGAACTGGCACAAAACTCGGATTCGTCCATATCTCCTCATAAGGTCGGCCGTTCGCCTGGGATTGAGGAGTTTAGAGTGGATGGGGCCGACTCCTCCTCTCTTTGGAGCGGCTCCATTTCTAGTGCGTATCAACTCACCCCCATCTATTCTTCTCTATCCCTACAGTCGAACATGGCGCGTACAAGAGCTACGTACGACCGAGGTGCGGCGAGAAATTGAGACAACATCCCTACCGATCCCTTGATCCCCATGAATCCGGACGATACGGACGTGGACTTCAGCAGGAGTGCCTGCTCGGTGGTGGAGGTAATTGTCTCCTCGTCCGAGAATAATTTACAAGGGGACCCTTCTAGGTCTTCCATTAGAGAGGTAGGGGCATCCGGCTGAAATCTGGAACAACGCCCTTCACGACATACCAGCTCAGCCAGGCTGCTATCCAAGCTGCCATCTTCTGAGAGGCACCCTTCTACAAATCGGGCGGACTCTTCATCTTGCCGAGGAAGGTATTCCCTTCATATTGGTGCGGCAGTTGCGACCAACCTGTTATCTCGTGATGGTCCTCCTTCGGGAATTCAGGCCTAAAGGTGAAAAGAAAAGAGGCAGCTTGTTGAGCCCGTCCTAGGCTCAAAAAGACCTTGGTGCCAGAGACCATTGTGCTTGTTGAGCCCGTCCTAGGCTCAAAAAGAGGCAGCTCAGCCGAAGCTACTAAATTGGACTCTGTGCCATCCTCTAAGTTAGGTTCGGCTAAGGACCTCGAACCACAGGCTGCTGAATAAGAGGCAGAGAATCTGGACGCTGATCAAGCGAACGATGAGCCTAATGCGGTCAACCTTAATGACCCTTATGCCTGCTCGATCGGCGATGTGGCTCTTGCTTTTCTTCATTCAAACTTTAAGGACCTTAAAAAGTTCCTCAAGTTTAAGAGGGGTTACCATATTCAACCGCCGAGGC